TCTGGTCGCTTTTCAGTATGACTTCAACAGGACACGAGCTGGCCCCAGCCTCCCGCAGACTGTCCAAATATTTCACATGTGTTGTCCAATCTGCAGTCATTCGGAAATGCATTGATCCAAGCCCCCCATCGGAATTATTCGATACATTATTTGTTTTTCGTTCAATCGCAATGTCAATCGGACATGGGGGCTGTCCGAGTCCCAGAGGATATCACGCCGCCATTGGAAACGCAACCTCGTGGGACGTGGAGCATCCCGCGCCTCGGGAACGGAGGCGTGGGCCGAACGACTCGGCGGCGGCACCGGGAGCTGCGGTGATTCGTTCGGTCCCCCTCCCCCCCCATAGGTTTGGGAGGATCTCCAAGCCCCCGAGGGCGTGCAACGCCTCAATTTGAAGCGTCACCCTCGATGGCTCGGAAAACCCCGCTCCCGCAGGAAAGGAGGCGGGGACAGAACGATCCAGCGGAGCAGCGGAGGGCGAGATGATTCGTTTGGTTCTTTTCTCTCTCCTCCGGGGTTTGGGGGTTCCCCGGGACCCCGAGGACGCGGAATGTCTCTCTTGGAAGCGTCGCCTTCGGGGTTTGAAGAACTTTTCGCCCGCACGAATTGAGGCGGGGACCGAATGATTCGGCGGTGGCAGCGGAGGGCAAGGTGACCCGTTCTCCCCCTCCCCGCCCCATGGGTTCGAGGGGCCCCCAAGCCCGAAGATTGAGGAATCCACGGGAACCTTGAGTCCTTTTCTGGGGAACCTTGAGGAATCTCCAGGCATACGTAAGGAATCTCTACTGGATCTTGTTTCCCTCGGAAGTATCTGGAGGATGTTTGACGCACCTCTGCGGAATCCAAAAGAATCTGCGCGGAAGTACTCCGCACCATTTTCGGCTCACCCCTCCAAAATGGAAAGAAAACGGGGGAGGAGGAGGGTAAAGGAGACCGCCCCCCGCCGCCGGCAACGACGACGATGATGACGGCGTCGACGACGACGCCGCTGCCGCCATCAAACGACTCGGACGACGACGACGACGATGCACGACGCACGACGCGCGACGACGCGCGAGGATCACGACGACGCCGACGTTGACGCCGATGATGACGCCGACACGGACGCCGACGCCGACGCCGACGCCGATGACGACGACAACAACGAGAAGGCCGACAACAACGCCGACGACGACGGTCGAGCATTGGTGGGGTGCGATTGAAGCTGGTTTGAGCCTTGGTATGATAGTATTCTAGACGCTTCGCGTAGCCCCACCAGCCCAGTCACAATCGACGCCCAAGCGAGTTGCCCTGATAAGGCATGTGGGGAAGCACGCAGCGGAACAAAGATTGGGACGCATTCGTACTGCAAGAGGGAGAGGATGGAGGAGGAACCCGATGAAGAAGAGGAGGAGGAGGGGGACAGGAAGGAGGGAGAAGGGAGAAGGGAGGAGGCAAGAGGAGGATCCGGCGGATGAGGAAAGGGCAGAGGAGGAGGAGGAGGAGGAGGAGGAGGAGGAGGAGGAGGAGGGCGAACATAAAGGCCAGAGGCCTCCTTCGACGCTTCTCGGAATCTCTTCGGATGTCTTGGGGGAGTTTCTTGTAGGCCTGTTGGGGCGTCTTGGGGGCCTCTTGGCGGCCCCGGGGCCTCTTTTGAAGCGTCTTGGGCGCATGCCTCTTGGGGGTCTCTTGGAAGCCTCTTGGGAACATCTTGGGGACATATTTGGGGCCTCTTGGGGCCTCCTGGGCACCTGTTGGGGCACTCTCGGCAGCCTCGGGGGGCATCTTGGAGGAGACTGATCAAAGAAGGGGGGGGGGTCAATTAGGGCCCCACCATAGAGGCCAAAGTTGGGCCAAAACCTTCGTAAAGTGAGTGATGTTGGTTTTCTCGCCGAGGCCACACCTCGCGGGGTGCCCCGTCCGGGTCCAGGGGGACAGGGTGGGGGGCAGAGCTAACCTATCCCCGAAGGAAAGGAAGAGGGTTTGGGAAAGAAAGCCAGCTTCGTAAACCACTCACGCCGTTTGATCAAAGGTGGATCGAGCCCTAGTCGGATTTTACTAGGGGTGGATCCAGCCCTGGTAGGATTTCATTCGAACCCATTAAGCATGGATCGAACCCGAGCTGCAAGAATGCTGGATCGAGCTGTATTAGAATCCCATCAAACCTGGATCTAACCCTGATACAGGTCTATTGGAACTGGACCTAGCCGTGGTAGGATTCTATGAGAGGTCGACCGAATCCTTAGCTGGATTCTACGAGGGCTGGACCGAGCCCTAGAAGGATTCCATCAGAGCTGGCTCGAGCTTTCTAGGATGATCCTCAGTGAGCTTGATCGACCCCTAAGAGTATGCAGTATCTTTGAAAGTTGGATGGAGCTAGAGCAGGATCCCGTTAGAGCTGGATCGAGTCTTAGGAGGATTCGACCAGAAGTGGATCCAGCCCTAGGGACTCGAATACAGCTAGATCGAGCACGAGAAGTGGTCTGCTAGAGGCGGAGCGCTGGAACGAGCCCTGGTAGCTTTCTATCAAAGCCGGCCCCTGGCGCGCGCCCCGGCGACAAATGCGCCGCCGCCGTTGACGTTGTGACCGTCGTCGGCGTCGTCGTAGGCATCGTCGTCGTCGCCGTCATCGTCGTCCGACGTTTTCGTCGTGGTCGTGGTCGTCCGTCGTTATCGTCCGCCGACGTCGTCCGCGTCCTTTGCCAGCGGCGGCGACGTCGTCGTCGTCGTTGTTGCGCGGGGGGGGGAGCTTTGGATCCCTCGAATAATTTTCCTGGGGAGGGGGGGGGGGGGGGCTTGGACCCCTCCAAGCAATTTTTCCAGGTGTGGGGGGGTCGAGTTCTGGACACATCCGAATAATTTTCCCGGGGGGGGAGGGGGGGGTCCTGGAGGGGAGATAAGGAGGGAGAGGGGTGCCCCCCCTGGTTTTCGATCCCCCCTGGCTATTTTTTTTTCTGGGGGGGAGGAGGGCCCTGGTTGCTGACCCCTCCTTTTTTTTGAGATCGTTTAGGCCAAAGGCGTTGGATCGCGTGCCCTAGAAGGTCAGGACAGCGGATGCCTTCTCAAGAGCTGTGGGGTGGCTTCTGGCTCACGTTAGGGCCTCCGGGAGGCTCCTCGTCGCCACGGCTGGATTCCCAGATCTCCGAGGATATGATTGTCTCAATCCGAGCGGTGTTTCTCACATGTTCGGCCCCTGGGGCCTGTCATCGGGCCCTGGGACCATCATTATCCCAGTGCGACCCTACCTAGGAGTTGGAGCATTTAGGAAAGCAGCATCTACATCTACACCGACGGCTACATTTACATCTACACCTGCATCTACATCTACATCAACATCAACAGCGAGACTCACATCTACATCTACATCTACACCCACATCTACACCTACACCTGCATCTACATCTACACCTACATACACATGGTATGCTATGCTATGATATGGTATGCTGAGCTATGCTATGCTATGCTATGATTGGCTATGCTATGCTATGCTATGCTGTGCTAATGCTGCGCTGCGCTATGCTGCGCTGCGCTAAGTTAAGCTAGATTAAGCTAATCTATGCTAAGCTAGGCGAAGCTAGGCGAGGCTAAGCTAAGCCAAGCTAAGCTAAGCTAAGCTTAGATGGCATAAGCTAAGTTAAGCTAAGCTAGGCTAGGCTAGGCAAAGCTAAGCTAAACTAAGCTAAGATGAGATCAGTTAAGCTAAACTAAGTTAAGCAAAGCGAAGCTTAGCTTAGCTAAGCTAAGCTAAGCGAAGCTTAGCTTAGCTAAGCTAAGCTGGGTGAACCCAGGGGGCGTAACTGGGGGAACCACGGGGCGGATACTGGGGGAACCGCCCGGGGCGAGTTGCACTGCCATGCCCTTTAAGCATACCGAGTACGAACCCTTCTAGGCAGAGCCTAGGTAGGCCCGGCTGGATTCACAGATCTCCGAGGATATGATTGTCTCAGTCCGAGCGGTGTTTCTCACATGTTCGGCCGTTGGGGCCTGGCATCGGGCCCTGGGACCATCAAAAACGAGTCTGGTACGAAAAAATACCCTCGGGGAAAGGGGTCGGGACATGGCCGCGCATTGCGAAGATTGCAT